TTTCAGCAAACTGTACAGCTTCTTTAGCTGACGCAGTGAGACTCCTTCTAGGTAAGCCTTGTGCCGAGGGTTATTCTTCAGCTGCTCAGCAGCCAAGCTGCAGTCTAAAGAGAAAGCCACCGTGAGGACCTACAGCTGCAAGCAAATCTCCTCCCATAAACAGATCCTCTTCTCCCAAACCCTCACAAGCGAAGACCTCCAGACTTAGCAGGGCCACTACTCAGGTTAAGATGTAGCCCTGAGCTCCTCAGGGGAGGCAGCATTACCCCAAAACAACCCCTCTTTGCACTCCCTGCATGGTGGTGAGAAGCTACCCAGTGGTTACTAAAAATGCTGTTACCAACTATCTGTTCCTCTCACTGTGTCTGGAAAGGACTTGGGGAATGCTACAAGTAAATGCACTGCACCTGAGAACTTGGAGAAATTTCTGACGGGCATGACGCGCTGGCGAGTCTTATCCTTGTTGTCTTCTCTGTAGATCAGGATAATGGATGGAGGCTGAAAGCAGATACCGCACTTCTTTGCAATGTAAGTCATTACAGTTCTTGCTGCTGGCTCAAGCGTGGTCAGCTTTATCAGAGCTGTCCTCAGCAACATCAAAGCTCAATGAAAAACAGGAAAAGAAAAAAGGGAAAGAAAGTGTGAGTGTCTCTCGTTGCTGTTCTTTTTATCAGGGTTAGAGTGACCCAAGTTCAGCAAAAACATGCAGCCATGGCCTAAGTCTCTCTGATTTCAGTGGAAGTTGAACATGTCCCTGCATGCTCTGTGAGCCGGGTGCCAGGAAGCAGAGTGACTCCCAACTCCTGGTTTACACCTGTGTCACCACTTGGGCTTTGAACTGGAATTACGTATCACACACAAGTTAACATTTTGGTTTACCAGCTAAGTAAAGTGCTGCACAGTCAAATGATACCTAAAAGATGTTTTTTATATTTATTCATTTTTTTATAGTGAAAAGTGTCATTAAATAGTAAATCAATGTATTACAGTTTCTTCACAAACACCATCTACTGCAATATCCATTGCTCTGGAGAGCTAGGAATTGCTTACCTACCAAGCCCTTTCCTGCTCTAACCACCATGCTTTTAACTTTGTATTGCCTAATAGTTCATATGAAAGCTCCAGGTGTGACTTCAGGGAGAATTTGATTTTTCAGTAAAGACATAACAATAAATTTCTGCTGTAAGCTTATTTGAGCACATTTCAAAAAAATTTTCAGAAAAACGCACCTAAAACAAAAATTTGAAACGTCTTGGTACCCCCCTGAAAGAGTTCCTACAAAATTAAATATGAATGTTGCAAGAGATGCAATAAAGAAAAGACAGAATTCTATTATACACATTTGTCTATTATACATATTTGCTTTGAAAAGATACAAATTGATTGATTCAAATTTCCTTTGTCTCTGTTTCTGTCACAAGCCTGGGGATATCGTATTCCTTATTTCATATAGTAAGGGAGAATCTTGCATCCATAATGTTGACGTATGTAACACTGGAATTCCCTTTCTTTTTTTTTCTTTTACATTTTAAGAGGAGGGGTACCCAGTCAGTTTTTGTAAAGCTTTCTTACAGTTTCAGAGTCACCTCAATATAGCAACATATCTGTAACCGATGACAGATGGGATAAGGAGAGAGAAGAGATTCAGAAATGAAGGACAAAAGTAATTAAACCCCTTATTAGGAGACAATGAAAATATGAACTAATTTTAAAGACCGGAGATGACATTCAACTGTTTACTCCTTCTCAAACTAAAATACAACATCAATGAAACTGAAAAGCTGAGAATTTACAAGTGACAAATGGAAATGCTTTTTACACAGCACATTACTACTGGTAGAGCTTAAGCTATAAAACGTTCATGAAGGTCAAGAATGTCTTAAGATTTGAAAATGCTGAGCTGCTGCGTGTGTGCGCGGAGGAACCGGGAACTTTTGTCATACTTAAAAGGTGGAGAAAGAGGGTGTGTGGGGAGGAAGGGCTGACTTGATCCACTAAACATATGGCTGCATTTATACAGATAGCATGAACATACCATCCGCACGAGAATTTAATTTTAAAGTAAGGACTACTAAACTCTCATGTAGTAGTTGACCAATGCACTGATACTTGAATGAGGTTAGGAAGTTAATCCATAATTATCCTTTTTACTCTTCTCTGAAGCATTTTGTCTTGCAACAGGAGAGGGGGAATGTCAGTCTGACTGACAGCGACAACTTCTCTTTTTCTGCCTTACCGCATTTGTCCGTACCCAAAATGCTCGAGAACTCCTCAGCATCAGCCCTGCCCTTGGGCTCCCTCCCCTTTTCGAGTCAGCTGAAATATTAGAGGAAACTTACAGATCCAAATCCGCTGCAGATCCTCTTTCCCAGCTTAGTGTACACTGAGTGCATGCATCACCTTACTTTTGGTTTTAAATAAGTGAAAATATGCCAAACATGAAGGTTGTTTCCTCCTCTGACTACCCTAGAGACTGCAGTAAGGCAAGGTAAGAAATTATACCCAAAATGTTAACGTATGTCTCCAACCAAGAAAAACTGCGTTAATCTTGAAAGCTACTGTGAAGCTGAGTTGAAAAGTCTTCCTTCTTTGTTAAAAACCATGTAGGAAAGAGTTCAAAGTTGCAGTAATGTTCTCAATACTGAAAATTAACTAGAGCTGCTATACCTTTTGCTTTTAAATAGTTCTATGAGTCGGGGAGGAAAGCAGAAGTCTCTTAAGAGCCACTTTCACTATCTTAAAATGAGAAATGATGCTTCAAACTGAACTGAAATGGCTTTTTGAAGGGTCACTGACAATCGCGAGAGTGGGCCGCCATCTCTGAAATAGCAAAGAAATCCTTAGACGAGAAATACAGACATAAGAAGCCATTCGGATCCACGTAAAAGAAGGGAAAGGGGTTTCGTATCATCAGGTAACGCAAGCAGAGACCTTCGCTGCCAGGCACGGAACGCTGGTTTCAGTAGCTCTGAAACACGGACAGGTGTTTATTTTTTTTTTTTCCCCAGCCAACTTCTGTGCTGCAGCAGAACTACTTTTGCCTTTAAAAAGCCGCTTTTCTACTGCTTGTTTCCGCCAGACGAGCAAACCCTCGGGGTCGTGCGCGGTCGAAGCCTAAACGCTGAGGCAGAAGGGAAGCAGGGCAGGATCGGGTTCGTCCTTCCCGCCTCTCGCCCCTTCCTCTCACCTCAGGCGGCGGCGAGACCGGGCACGAAAGCGTTTGCTTGGCGGCGGCGGCCTCCTCCCGGCGCCGGGGACGAGAGGCGGCGGCCCGGGCCGGTCCCGCTCCACCAGGGCATCCACCTGTCTGTTTGCCGTGGCTAACGCCGCGCCCCCCGGCCCCCCCCCCGCCGGCCCCC